AGAGTACTAGACATGTGTGTCAGACGGTTGGGAGTCCGGAGAGCCTAACTCTTCATATCCAGAGTCTGCCACTTCTTAGCTAAGTTATGTAATCTCTTTGTACCTCAGTTTCCTCAGCTGTGAAAGGGTTAGGAGATGAGATATATGTGGGGTGCCCAGGTGGCTCAGTCAGTTAAGTGTCCAACTTTGGCTCAGGTCATGATCTAATGGTTTGTGAGTTTGAGCCCCACATTGGGCTCTACAATAACAGTGCGGAGCCTACTTGGGATTCTCTCTCCCTCTCTCTTTGCCCCTCCCCCATTTGTGCTCTCTAAATAAATAAACTTTAAAAAAAAAAAAAAAGCAGGTATATGTAACAGGCCATGTACTGTTTTTTTAAAATCAGTTTTATTGAGGTATAATTTACATATCAATTCATCAATTTTCAGTTATACAACTCAATGAATTCTGGCAAATATATACAATTGTGTAAACACCACCACAATCAGGACATAAATCAAAGGTTCACAAACTTTGCTGGTTCACCACGCTCTTGATGTCTCAGTAAACTTTTCACAGTCCTCAGGCCAAATAATTGAAAAGTATTTATGCCCTAACAACTTAGTAGCCTTTTGGGGAAAAAAAAAGAATACTCAGAAACTGACAAATCTTTTTTATTTCATTCTGAAATAACCAAAATTATTTACGAATGGAATGTGTGTGCCTATTGGGCTCTGCACAAATTCTCAACCTTTGGAAATGGATTGGACACTCTCACCCTCATTTTGTGTTCCACACTGATTTTCACATAATACTTGATTTTAATCACAGACCGCTAAAAACCTAACTACACAAAGATATGACATCATTAATAAGAATGTAGCATGGGGCACCTGGGTGGCTCAGTTGGTTGAGCATCTGACTTCGGCTCATGACTTCATGATCTCACAGTTTGTGAGTTCAAGCCCCGTGTCGGGCTCTGGGCTGACAGCTCGGAGCCTAGAGCTTGCTTCAGATTCTGTGTCTCCCTCTCTCTCTGCCCCTCCCCAGCTTGCACTCTGTCTCTCTCTCTCTCAAAAATAAATAAACATTAAAAAAAATTAAAAAATAAATAAGAATGTAGTGTGATTTAACGTGCAGGTGTGAACTATCCCAAGTTAGTTTAAGCGGTATATGACAGATGTCACTGTGTTTCCCTTAAAGATTTAAATTATCTTGGGGGGACTGGGTGGCTCAGTCGATTAAACCTCTGACTTCGGCTCAGGGCATGATCGCACAGTTTGTGAGTTCAAGCCCCGCATTGGGCTGTATGCTGACAGCTCAGAGCCTGGAGCCTACTTTGGATTCTCTGTCTCCCTCTTTCTCTGCCCCTTCCCTGCTCATGCTCTCTCTCTCAAAAATAACAACAACAACAACAACAGTTTAAAAAAAAAAAAAAGAGTATAGACTCTGATATTCAGCAGCCTGGGTTTGAATCCTGACTCCAGTACTTATAAGACATGTGACTTTGGGTATATGATTTTCCCTCTGTAAAATGGGATAAAAGGATCTACTTCATAGGGCTTTGATAAAATAATACTGGCCTTTTTGCATCTATCCCGTCTCTCTCATGTCTATTCTATACACAGCAGCCAGAGGGATGCCCATTTCATTGGTAGAAAAAAAACAAAAATCTTTACAGTGGCCTAGCAGGCCCCTGTATTTCTGTGAGGTCAGGTTTAGGGAGAGGCCTCTTCAGGCTACCTCCTTCCTGGACGGGGAAGGATGGGGTCAGGTTTCCAGTGATGCAAGGCAGGAAATGTTTATTAAATCACCTGCCATGGTGTCTGTAAGTGACCTTCTGTGGTCACACCACAGGCCACAGGGCCAAACGAGTTGGTCTCAGACCAATGCTCAATTCACCAGCATAGCTGAAACCCTAACGAGCCAAACCAAAAACAAATCCCCATAACCACTTGACCTTGCCCCTGAGTCTAGTGAGGCCCTGGCAGAGGCAAATCACAGTCAAAAGAAAACAGATCCTTTCCTCTAGAAAGTCCCAGAGATGATAACTTTTTTTTTAGTGGAGGAGGGGGAATTCCAAAGACCTTTCAAATCCTCTGGGGTCTGACAATTAGGTTTCCTCTTTCCTGCCTTCATTTGAAAAAGGTAAGGAGAGGTGAAACACAGAAACTTTAGCTATGACCCCAAGAAAGACAGAATCAAAGAGACACAAACATGAAACCCCAAAATCCCAGATTCTAAGGCAAATATAGGAAAATTAAGATAGAAAGGAATTTTCTAGTAAAAAAAAATCTATATATCTATATATCTCCTTCCTTTCTAGTTCCAATCTGTCCACCTGACTACCTGTTGTGACCTCCTTTTTCGCCAATAAATGTCTCATATCTGAGGGTCTGTCCAGCATATACACAATGACAATATACACCCTACTTTTTTAAAAATGCGTTCTCCAGGGGCGCCTGGGTGGCGCAGTCGGTTGAGCGTCCGACTTCAGCCAGGTCACGATCTCGCGGTCCGGGAGTTCGAGCCCCGCGTCAGGCTCTGGGCTGATGGCTCAGAGCCTGGAGCCTGTTTCCGATTCTGTGTCTCCCTCTCTCTCTGCCCCTCCCCCGTTCATGCTCTCTCTCTGTCCCAAAAATAAATAAACGTTGAAAAAAAAAAATTAAAAAAAAAAATGCGTTCTCCTTTATTATTATTTTTTTAATGTTTATTTATTTTTGAGAGAGAGAGAGAGAGAGACAGAGCACAAGCAGGGGCAGAGAGAGAGGGAGACACTGAATCCGAAGCAGGCTTCAGGTTCCAAGCTGTCAGCACAGAGCCTAACGCAGGGCTCGAAACCACGAACTGCGATAAAGTGACCTGAACTGAAGCTGGATGCCCAACCGACCGAGCCACCCAGGCGCCCCTATACCCTACTTACTATCCTCAAATCCCATTGACTTCCAGCTCAGGAGTTCAAAGCTGTCGAATTCATTATGGGGGATGTGGAGGTGAGGAGAGAGAGAGGGACTCCCAGCACACTGATAGACATCGGAACTAAGCATTTAAAGCACGAAGTTCTAGTGTCAGCTTTACCACTAAAAGAGCTGTGTGACCCCAGTTGAGTCCATTAGCATTCCCAAGCTTCAGCTTCCTCATCTATGAACTGAAGTTATAGACAGTGCTTTTGCTCTATGACCTTGACCCATGCTGCTGGGGACTCTGTGGCTTTCCATCCATCACTGACCTCTGACCCAGCAGTGGTCCACCAAAGCCTGAAGCCAGCAAGGTCCCTCTTCCCCAAAGGCTCTGTCGATTCCAATTCCTCCACTGCTGAAGAACTGAGTAGGTGACATCACAGTTTCCCCTTATACAACCCTTGCTGTGCACCACGGGACAAAATCCAGAATCCCCAACTCCTCTCTGTCTCTCACACAACTGAACCCCAACGATACCAAGTAAGAACACAACAACAAATCAAACGTCTCCTTTGCAAGCTCTGCCTGCCAAGACTAGTTATCTAATTGCTGTTGATTGCATTAATTGCATGGCTCTGAAGTGTTGAGACAACTCCGTGTAGTGTAAGGCAGGGCAAGGGAAAGGAATTCATGAACAAAACGGTACAGTAAAACTCTTCTCCTACTCCAGACCCTAACGCCCCTTCCATGGCTCCAAGGCTGAATGTGACTTGAGAGCCCAGTAGGACAAAATATTAAGAAGCAGCTGAATCTTCTCGATGGGACAGGAGCTAGAAGGATCCACTGGGAACTGGGTGGGCCCCAAGCCCTGGACTTAAGGGGAGGGCACCACCCCACACATGATGCACAGGCCAAGAACAGCATACTGGTTCTGGATACCCTATCCTCTGCTCATGCCTGAAACGGAGCCCCCCACCCCCACCCCTCATCTTCCTGCTCAGTCTCTTCAGGACCCTCCTCTTTAAACACTGGGGCCTACTGCCACATGTCTAGAAGACCCATCACAGACAATCTCCTCTTCCCTCCTCTAGATACTATAAGAGGCCAACCAACTGCAGACAAGAGCTACATGGACAGGGAAAATGTCATTGCTCCAGAATAGGAAGAAGTGGGGTGGGGCTGTGCAATGATTTCAGGCAAACAGAGCCCAACTCCAGAGAAGTACCTGGAGAGGAAAAAGCCCCATCTCCAAAAATGATCCAGGAGTCCCTCTCGGCCAACCCCAAGGTTTCAAAGGAGGTGTCTCTAGTCACCTCAGTAGGTAGCTGAGACCTCTCTGAACCTCCTTTGGATTAACTCCTCCGGCCAGGCTCCCACAGGGGCAATACCATTCTCTCAAGAGGCCTTGCTTACATCTGCCCTCACCCCACCCCGGGTAAGGTTCTGGGCCAGATGGGGGAGGGCGGGGAGCAGTCTCTATCACCGAGGGAGGCAACCCAGCTGTCAGAACTGACAGATGTCATCCAGAACGCCAAACTCAGCCTGCAGCAGCGGCAGAGAGGAGGTCACAGACACCAGAGCCCCAAAGACGCAGAACAAGGGTCCCCAATCCCTGAGCAAAGCCTAAGGGTTCAAGGTGAACGGCTCCCAAGCACATCTCTTAAAATGTAGTTGCAGAAGAGAGGGCTGCCCCACCAGAATAGGAGTTGAGCTGCCGAGAGTGGGGTTAGGAGAGACCCCTGCGGAGGTGGGGGCTGGGCTGTTCTCTGAATCCCAGCACATATCTGTGCCCACAGGCTTCCCTTACATGACACACCTGGAACTTCCCCTCAGAGACCACAGACCAACTTTCTGCAGAGGAGGAGGTGCGCGGGAGCAAAGAGCCGGTGCGAAGGCGGGATAATGGGGGGCTACGACAGGGCGCCCCAAGTGGGTGAAGAATTGAAGTGCTGGAAGATAGGAGGATGCTGGCCCACGCGGACGACCAACTCCCAGGGCCTAGCCAGGGGCACCCCCCCACCCCGACCCTGACGGGCCCCACCGCCCCGGCTGGGGAAGCAGGAAGGGAAAGGCACTGCACCGCAGGTAGCAGAGCTGCCCAACCAGGTGGCCCGGCCCTACCTGCAGTTCCTGAAATTCTCCCTCCAGCTCATGCCACTCGCGCTCGCAACGCTCCAGCTGGCCGGACATGGTGCGGCGGTGCGAGGCGGCGGCGGCGGCTCCCGCAGCGTGGCGCGACTGGCCGCCAGCACCACAGCCCGTCCGCTCGCCGGCCGCCTTCGGAGACACCAGCTGTTCCTGCGCAGCCGGAGCCACGCGCGCACCTGACGTCACAGCCCCCGCCCCGGCGGCCGCCCCACCCCCTCACCGGGGAGGCAGGCCCCGCGCATGCGCACGCACTTCCCCCCGGCTCCGCCCCCGCGCGCCGGCTGGGGGACTGCTGTAGTTCTGCAGGTCTTGGCGGGTCTGTTGCTGCCCCCTTGAGAGTGCTTATGCTTTTCCAGAATCTCTCCTAGTTGGGCTAGGGGCTAGGGAGCTTGTCCTAAAACTGCATTTGCCAAACTTATTTTACTTAGATTGTGTTTATTTGGGGTGACTGAGTCGGGAGGGAGGAAGATTTTGAGGAGGTGAAAGCTCACCACCTCTTGGCATTGCCTGACCGGAGCCAAAGCCAACGGCCCAGAATGCTAGAACTGACATTGACCATCCAACAAGGTCGCCAGGCAAGGCCGAGGAGGGCCCCGTCGTCTCACGGTGTCGTTATTTACTGCAACTAATTCATCCTAGATTCCTGCCCTCTAAGACTCTAGGTGACTCTTTTGACAGCTGTTTCTGTCGCTCAAATGACACAATTGCATCCCCTCCCCTTCATGGTCCTACAAGATCTATCCCTGCCTAACTTCCCAGTCACATCTCCTATCTCACCTCCCTGGATCAGTACTTCCCAGCCAGTTTCTTCTCTTCCTGCCCTTGCATGGAACATTCCCTCTAAATCTTCACATGGTTGCCTTTTTCTCATCATTCAAGCCTTAATTCAATGACACCTGTATTAATTTCCTAGGGCTGCGGCAGCACGTGGCTGACTCAATCCATACAGCATGCAACTCTTGATCTCAGGGTTATGAGTTCAAGCCCCACATTGATCTCCCAGCCTACTTAAATTACAAAAGAAAAAAGAAAAAAAAATTCAGGGCACCTGGGTAGCTTAGCCTGTTAAGCGTTGGACTCTTAATTTCAGCTCGGGTCATGATCTCATGGTTCATGGTATCTAGCCCATAGACAGGCTCCCTGCTGTCAGTGCAGAGCCTGCTTGGGATTCTCTCTCCCTCTCTTTCTGCCCCTCCCCACTCGCCCTCGCTCTCAAAATAAATAAACATTTTAAAAAAATTCCTAGGGCTGCCTTTTACCATAAATTGCACTGTTTAGATACCACAAACTGAGTGGCTTAAACAATAGAAATCTATTCTCTCACAGTTCTGGAGGCTAGAAGTATGAAATCAAGGTGTCAGCAAAGACATGCTCCAACCCTGTGTAAAATCTTTCCTTGCTTCTTCCTGGCTTGTGGTGGCACTCAGTCCTTAGCATTCCTTGCCTTGTAGTTCATCCCTCCATTCTCTGCCTCTGTCGTTACGTGACCTTCCCTGCGTGTCCTCTCCTAAGGACACCATTTTTTAAAAATACGTATTTTTGAGAGACAGCGTGCCAGTGGGGGAGGGACAGAGAGAGAGGGAGAGGGAGAATCCCAAACTCTGCTGATAGCTCAGAGCCGGACACGGGGCTCAACCTCACAAATCGTGAGATCATGACCTGAACCCAAATCACGAGTCAGATGCTCAATGAACTGAGCCACCCAGGTGCCCCTCTAAAGGACACCAATCTTATTAGGTTCAAGGGTCCATCCCACTCCAGAATGACTTCATCTAAGCTTAACTAATTACATCTGCAAAGACCACTTCCAAATAACATCACATTCTGAGGTAGTGGGTATTAGAACTTCAGCATATCTTTCTGGAGGATACAATTTAAACTGTAACAACACCTCTGAAAAAAAGACCTTTCCTGAATATCCAGAGCTTCATGCCTCCTCCCAGTGATTCATATGTCACCTGTCTTATTTCCTTCATAAAAGTGTTTGTCTCCATGTTAGTTGTATGCATCCCTCCGTGGGTATATAATCTGCACGAGATCTCAGGGATCATGTCTTTGTCTTGGTCATCATCGTATTCCCAGAGCTTGGCACATAGTAGGCCCTTAATAAATATACGCTGAAGGAACAAACATGAAAGATGCAAAGCCTCTCAACTTTTGGGGCTCAGAGACCACTCTAAGAACTCCGAATGGGAAATATACACATAAACACATAGAGAAATATTTGGAATTCTTTTTTTTAATGTGTATTTATTGTTTAGAGAGACAGAATGCAAGCAGAAGAGGAGCAGAGAGAGGAGACACAGAATCCAAAGCAGGCTCCAGGCTCTGAGCTGTCAGCACAGAGCCCCACACGGGGCTCAAACTTATGAACCAGGAAATCGTGACCTGAGCCAAAGTCAGACGCTTAGCCCACTGAGCTACCCAGGTGCCTCCAAATGTTTGGAATTCTTAACTAAGGCCTGAAGAACAGTGTGACTTAAGATTCCCAGATAATTAGTGATGGACTTTGAATTATATTCTCATCCTTGAGGGTTGGAACTTCAATATATCTTTGGGAGCCACAATTCAATTCATAACGCCTCTCAATAAAGGTGAAACAAGTCTTGTTCGTGTGCCTGGCTATTATTGATTGGGCTGATTATGAATAAAACCACTATAAACATTTATGTAATTTTTTTAATTAAGAAAAAGATGATTTTACATTAAAATCAAAACTTTTAAATTTAATTTAATCTTTTAGAGTAATCTCTACGCCCAACCTGGGGCTCAAATTTACAACCCCAAGATCGAGAGTCGCAGACTCTACTGACTGAACCAGTCAAGCACCCCTAAAATCCTAACTTTTATTTTGCAAAATGGGGAAATCTGGCCATTCCAGTTGGGCTCACATTCCTGCATGGTAATGGGCTGGAACAGAATAAAGATATCTCCTTCACAATGGGCTGGCCAGTGGCCACAGTCCTCACCATGCTCAACTATATTGCCCCGACTACTTCACGTATTTTTGTAAACTGTAGTCCTCAGACATTTGAATTTGGGACTCCCGATATAATATGTCATGAGGATTGCAAAACCATATAAATCACTTAAATGGTGAAAAAAAAAAAAAAACGGAAAAAGGTTTATTTAATTGGGATTAGTGGAATCAAAAAGGAAACATAGGGCCTTGAAGGATGAGTAAAGTGTCACCAAGCAGAGAATTGGGGAAGATGCCCTTTCACTTCGGCTTGCAGCGACTCAATCCAAGCAGGTCCACCTGCCCCAGGCTGCCTGTGGGCAGGAGAGGCTGGTTTCTGCTCGCCAGGGAATCTGGGCAGGTGCACCTTATCTGCAGGCTGGCCAGCGGTCAGGCTGCAAATCTAAGCGACTGTTTTCTCTGTGGGGTCAGGACTCAGAATGCATTATTCACGAGCCCTTTTGTAGATGGCAGGGGCTGGCCACCCCACTCGGTGTAGCCAGTGGGTGCCAGAAGTATCAGATCTTACCCGACTGCCACTCTGTCCTGGTTCCTACCCAAAGTGCTTTCAGATTCACTTGTCAGTTCCTTGGAATTGGATCTGGCTCTACTTATGGACTTTGATCATGAGGGGTGAGAAAGTGTGTTATCCTCCTCATCCCTGCCCACGCCACCAAGGGGAAATCTCTATTTGTTCTCTTTAAGACACTCTACTTAGGAACCTGGCAGTCTGAGACATTGTACAACCAGCTGGGAAGAGCCATAAAAGTAGCAAACACAGGGGCACCTGGGTGGCTCAGTCGGTTAAGCGTCTGACTTGCTGGTCATGATTCATTTAGAGTTTGAAATATTATCGTTGTGCTGACAGTTGAAGCCTGAGTTGTGCTGGATGTTTCTTGTTTTCTTTTCTGCCTGTTTGTCTTCTCTTCTCTGTCTCCGTCAATAAATAAAGGTTAAAAAAAAAAAAAAGAAGAGGAAGTGTTTATTTTTTTTAATGTTTTATTTATTTTTGAGACAGAGAGAGACAGAGCATGAACAGGAGGGGCAGAGAGAAAGGGAGACACAGAATCCGGGCAGGCTCCAGGCCTGAGCCATCAGCACAGACCGATGAGGGGCTCAACTCAATGCAACCGTGAGATCGTGACCTGAGCCGGAAGTCGGACGTTTAACCGACTGAGCTTCTCAAATTCAGGTGTGCCCAGAAGAGGAAGTGTTTAAAAAAAAAAAGTAGCAAACGCATAGAAAGCACTATGTGTCTAGTGCTCTTGTATACACTTTATGTATATGCCTTAATGCATTAAGTCTTCACAACAGCTTGAGGAAGGACCTCTATTCTCCCTGTTTGACAGGTAAATATTCTAAGGCATAGTTTCTCCAACTTAAAAAAAAAAGTTATTTATTTTGAGAGAGAGAGAGAATTCATGAGTGGGGGAAGGACAGAGAGAGAGAGAGGGAGAGAATCCCAAGCAGTCTCCATGCTGTCAGCATACAACCAGTTCAGAGCTTGATCTCAGGAACCATGAGATCATGACCTGAGCCGAAACCAAGAGTCAGATGTTTAACTGACTGAGACACACAGGCACCCCAGTTTCTTCAACTTTTGATATGACCAAGAACTACCTTTTGAAAATCTCGTTAAATGCAGATTCTGATTCAGTAGGCTCTAGGAAGGGCCAGAGGTCCTGTAATTCTACGAGCTCCCAGCCAATGTCACTGGTCCAAGGACATTTTAAATAGCAAGTGTCCAAGTTGCAGAGAGGTGAAGGAACTTACCCAAGATCATCCAGCTACTGGTAGCTGTGTTATGTACACATTACAAGACGCCAAGAGCTAATTCTAAAAAAAGTCCAAGGAGAACTGAAAATTCCAGGGACTTTTCCTTCATCTGCTTCCCACAAATGCCCTTGCTCAAAATAGTCCCAAAGATTTTAACAAGCAACTTGTGCAAAGATGTTTATAGCAGCACTTTTTAGATCATCCACGCACTGGAAACATCCCAAATGCCCCACAACAGAGAAACGGTGAAGTAAGCTATAGTCTAGTTCATGCAATAATATATAGCTATTGAGATGATCGCTATGGG